GTCTAATTTCATTTTCAATTAACAGCCCTGAAATAGCAAAAAGAGTACGGTGGCCGGTTCCGGTTGGTGGATCTAAGTTACTGGCAATTTCAAAAAATGTCATCACTGGGAGATTCAATCAATACTTTATTAAAGTAACATAAAAGAAATAAGTTGTGTTATCAGATTAAAAAACAAAATGTTCAAATCCTTTTCATAATTCACCAGTCTAATCTTGTTGGAAATTTTTTGAACATCCTATAGCATCGAGCCCAATGTTAAAAAGAATAATGAGGCGATTATCACTACATGAATATAAAAAAAAAAGCTTTTGTGTGAATGGGCGTGGAAATAATTGTAAAACAATTAATAACAGTGAAAAGGATGGAAATGGAGTGAACATCAGACGTACACTATCTGTAACATGGTATAACAGATATCAAAATAAACGTCAATTAATGAAATTGTTATTTTCAAGTTCTTACAACAGGGGGTTTACATCTACTTCAGCTTCGAAACAGGGGGATTTTCAACAAAGTAATTCTTCCTGCTGTAAGTCTGTAATTAACTGTCAGTAAAAACTATAATATATAATATTATATTTTTAGAATGTTTCTGTTAGTAGTGGTAAATATTCGATTCCCAGCACTTGCATGGGATTTTATCTAATGATATTTATACAAAACTTTTACTGAAGACTGTATAATGCTCACTTTCACTTTAATTAAACACAAAAAATAGAGGCCAATGGTCCAACACACTCTTCTGAGTCACTTTGGCCCTACTGTTCTGCATCAGATATTTTTCTCAATATACTTGTATTTCAATGTACATTATGATCATGCATGCACTTTTTGTGGCCTCGCCCTATATATATGATTTTTAAAAAAATGAATCTACTCTATCAGAGGATGCTTCCACATTGATATGATTCATCATGGCTTTGCTGTTCTTGAGGAGTTTTAAATATTTTTCCTATATAATCCCTATTGTGCCCGACCCTACCTCCAAGGGACCATCATCTGAACAATATATTATCTACAATTCCTCTGTAAGCTTTCATTTAAGTTTCATCTTTTCTGGTCTAGCAGTTCTTGAGAAGATTTTTAGAGATATTCCCTATATATTTCAATGTGAAAATTGGATTCTCTAGCTATTGTGGCCCTAACCTACACCCAGGGGCCATGATTTGAACAATCAAGAATCCAAACTACCTCATTTCCAAATAAGTTTCAGCTTTTCTGGCCCAGTGGTTCTTGAGGAGGAGATTTTTTATGACTCAACCCTACTTTTTGCCTTTTCATGTTATCTCCTCTTCAGAAAGAGGCTTGGTCCTTCATTTTAACAATTTATAATCCCCTATACCCAGAGATGCTTTGTGCCAACTTTGGTTAAAATTGGCCTATTTGTTCTTAAGAAGTGGAAAATGTGAAAAGTTAGCAGATGGATGGACAACAGGTGATTAGAAATTCAGCTCAGGTGAGCTAATGAAAAGAAATTGTCACTTGTACATCTTTGTTCCAGTATAGTGTATGATATAGAAGTGAATATCTATATGACTGTTGGACCTATTTTCTATGTGAAGCATATGCTTTATTAAACCATTTAGATTATACTTCCTTTACCTTGTACAATTTGATAGAGGTATCTCAAAAGTTGCAGGACACACTCCCAGAATTCCTTATCTCAAGCTGTCACATGAACACATCTCCCCAGGGATAAGCATCCTTAATTTGTGGCACAACTACAGATATTACAATTTTTTGGAAACATGAAATGTACTGTAAATCATGGAGTCATTGGGTTCAAGTTTAAAGTTTGACATGAAATTGTTGGTAAATCAGAAATGTCACTTGGTCCACATTTCCTATGATACAGATTATAATTTGGAGATAACCATTCAATGGCTTTTAAAACAAAACAAATTCCAAATATATATTTTTTCTTTCATTATAGTATTGCATTGTTTATACATTACTTAACCTTTTATTCACTGATAACAATAAAGTATTTTGCGATTATTCCATGTTAGAGAGAAATGACACAAGTTCGAAATCAATCACACAGATCATAATTCCGGACATATAAGTGCATCTATCAACATCATGTAATTAAGTCTCCTCTATAAATTTACTCATTACAATTAGGATGCATCACTTTTTTAGCACAATAATTTGCTCTCTCCAAAAATAAAGCATCCTCTTAGCAAATGAGTACAATTAAATATTGAACCTGATTGTGAACATTGAGAAATGTACTGAGAAAATGATTTACTTGCTTTTTAAGAAAATGATTTACTTGCTTTTTAAAAAAATGATTTACTTGCATTAAGTGTCTTTACAAATATCTGCAGATCAGTTAATATAGTGTGATAGACGGACAGTTCACGAGATTGTTTATTGCATGCTGCACTTCTATCTCGGTTAATTTCCTTCATTTAGAAAATAGCTTCTACAAATCTGTTTTCATCCTTTTTGCAATTTCATCTAATGTAAGAACTGCAGATACTACCAAGACAATTTAATATTGATATACAATCTTACTTCTGGTTCTAACACAGGCTTCTGAAACAAGATGTGATTGCTTATTGTTCTTTTGGGAACATCAATACTTAGCAGGTGCTGGCGTAAAAATTATCAGCCCATCAACGGGAAAATTTAATTTTCTATAGATTTCGACTTTGTTAATTTTTATACACTCATTTTCATACAATTATTTAATCTAATGGTCCTAGGTTTTTTACTTGATTAATTTCAATATGAAAATTATAATAACCTTAATGCCATGATCAAATATTTAGTTATTACCAAATCAAAATCTTAGCCCCATTTCAATATTAAAAGAAATTGAGCAAAATATCTGGATTGAGCAAAAATACAACCCTGGTTTGTATCATTACTAAAACTAAATATTGACAAATCCTTACAAAAGATGGACACTGTAAAAACCACTGTGTGCATCTTTAGATGAGTTTGTTCATCATATGTCTTGAGAATAGATCTGCAGCAAGAACTATATCTTGTTCAATTATCAGAAAAATGTAGGTCAGATGATGCTTCTAAAGCAAATGCAAACCTGGTGGTGTGCATCCCTAGATGCATCATCTATGCAAGTTTGGTTAAATATGGCTTCTAGTTACTTGTAAATGGACTTGCTGCTACAACTTAAATTAGGATGTCAATCCTGATGCTGGTGCCAGGGGTAAAGCATAAGCTCATCGCGACTTTTACAAATGAGCGACCTTTCTCAAATTAAGAAAAATACCCAATTTCAAAGCTGTTCTGTCGAGCTTTGCAGACAACATGTCATGTCACTGACAGTATTGGAGTATGCTCTGCATGAAAATTGGGGGAATTCATATGAAAAATTACACCAATTCTGTTTGAAATATCTGTCACAGAAATTGATACTTTATACATTTATTGACTTTGGTTTGAGTACGATGTGTGTTTTTGTCAGAGTTGAAAACAAAACTTTATGCCTGAGTTTTTAGACTAAAGGCAATTAATTGTTAGGTCTTTAAAAATATTTTATACATACATGTAAATAAAGTATAACATTTCCAGTGATTTTATTGAGCAGTCCAAACCAATATGATGCTAGACCAGTATATGAGATGTAGGACCCCTAGCTGTGACATCTTTTACATCACACTTAATTTACAATTCTGTTAATCCTCAGACAAGATAGAATCCTACAATTCTAGTCTACAAGCAATGTCTAATTTGCATTGTGTGTTATTGGACAGAATACATCTTTACGAAAGCATCACACCAAACTGTTGCCTGTAATGTAATGGCTTAATTCAGGTTAACAGTTTGATTCTCTGGTTAAATTCTCTTGTTGTTCTCTGGTAAAATTCATATTGCTCTAAAACCCAGTCAATACATGTTTAATATTTGACAAACAACTAGAAAAATATTAAGGTATCTTTAAAGAAAAACAAGTCTCCATTCTAAAATCAGCTCTTGATCAAATCAAGTGACAACTTAAGACAGCCATGCACAGTGAAATGTTTTAACTAATCAAATCTTACAACTACAGAAAAATGTTGTAACTAGTCAAATCACATGACAACCACTGAGAAATGTTGAACCTCTATTTTTATCTTCAACAACAACTAAGAAATGATGTAACTATAGTTTAATCTTCAACAACCACTAAGAAATGTTGTAACTATAGTTTCATCTTCAACAACCACAAAGAAATGTTGTAACTATAGTTTCATCTTCAACAACCACAAAGAAATGTTGTAACTATAGTTTCATCTTCAACAACCACAAAGAAATGTTGTAACACGTCAAATCTTACAACAACCACAAAGAAATGTTGTTACAAGTCAAATCTTCAACAACCAGCAATCATAGCTTTAGTTCAGGGCTGTTCATTGCAGTTTGGCCATTTTCTTCCTCCAGAAATGAATCTCATATACCTTATAATGTTCCTGACATAAAGGTTGTTTCCCCATGATATTTCACTGTATTGACCTAAAGGTAGGAAGGGGAGGAATCATTTTTCTGCCAAGACTAAAAATATCAGACAGACAATGTATCATTTAGTAAAGTTATTAAACATAATTCATCCCCTAACCTTGTCATTTCCAAACTGGATGCCTAATATGACAAAATCAGATAACTGTTGTCATTTAATCCATGAACAATATTCCAGTTACCATTGCAATACTTCCTCCTAAATGTATCCTCATGTTCTAATGTAATTAAACTCTAATACACACCATAGATTTAATCAACCCCCTCTTTTACCATCTTTCTAAGTGCCCTGGAGGATTATTTTTAAAAGATAATGTTCTCAGATATACATGTATCAATCAAATTAAATGATTTTTTTTAAGGTTGTGCAAACAACAAAATATAAATCCATCATTTGCATGGTTTCCTTTACAAATATATCTGTGTTGTTGAATTACTTTTCACTAAGTGACAATAATGTGTTTTTAGTTTATATATAATTGATTAATTTGCAGCACATAAACAAAGTCCTTCCTTTATTTTTCAGATTGGCAAAGACGTCTGAAGATCAACGTTCTAAGTTTCCATTAGGAAGTTCCTAAAAGAGGATTCTATAATGAAACAAAAATAAGTTTTCACCCCTTTTGTATTTAGTGCTAATAAAATTCCACATCAGTGTCTTACAAGAAAATAGAGAAAAAAGTCTCCTGGATAGAGGGGGACAAAATCTGCGGAGACATTAATTGAGGGACGGCTAAAGTATTTATATACTTTCCACACGCTGGTATTGCTCACCATTAACGGAACAAAATCCACAAGGATCTAGATTCTCTCTGAATTAAACTGCAGAAAGCAAAGAACGAACCAGGTATTTACAGACTGTGCAATCTAATGACAACCAAAATAAACACCTCATCAAAATAATTCTAACTTCCCACAAGAAATTTACATCAAGGTATATCTGCATCCAGTGACTTCTGGGTTCACGTTTTTGATTAGATATGACCAACGAAACCTCCTTTGCTGATTTAAACTGTTCAGCGTTAGAAATCGGAGAATCCAACAGTACCTTTGTGTCCATTTTCTCTGCTGAAGAGGCAGAGATCTTAGAGACCATGAATTACTACTGTTATCGCATCATCATTCCTACTGTTTGCTCATTTGGAATTCTGGGAAACATTCTCAACGTCATTATCTTTACAAAGAAGAAGAATACAGGCATGTTGGATGAGGTTGAGTATTGCACGACAATTTGTTTGGTGTCCCTAGCTGTTTCCGACCTGATGTTCTGTATCACAACCATTCCTGTTGGATTTCAAACCACGAGACAGACTGTTTTCCACAAGAGTGAATTTCTTCTGTACTACTATATGTACAATTCTGCCATTATCAGCATGTTTATTTTCAGCAGTACCATGTTAACTGTACTAACAGCACTGATGAGATACCTCGCTATCTGTCACCCATTCCGCTCCAGACAATTTATATCCATTAAAAACGTTAGTATAGGTATTTTTGTAGTAGCTCTGTTCTCTATTGCATTTAACCTGGTATCAATGTGGCACTTCACTACTGTAGACTGCATAGAGAAGGGCTACACCATTGTACAACCAAGCAGTCTATTCATGGAGCCCTCCGTCCAGTACACTGTCAAACTACTTTGGGCTGTTTTTGGAAATTTCATTCCTCTTTCAATTTTACTTTTCTGTAACATTCAGCTGATACGCGCTCTCCGACAGAGTCGACAGCTACGTCTGCTCCACAGTCGTGATGACACTTCCTGTTTATCTGCTCATCGCCGCATAAACATAACCCTCGTTACAATTATCATCTTCTTCTTTATCCTTGTGGCACCCTCGGAAATCACCAAATTTATCTCCCTACTCAATAATGACAGAGGATTTCGCTATGCTATGGTGTCATACATCACCAACACTCTACAATGCATCAACTTTTCTGTTAACTTTGTGTTGTATTATGTTATCATTGCTCCGTTTCGGCACACCTTACATGAATTTCTCTGCTCATTCCCTCGAGCAATACGTCACAACGAACAACGCGAGAGATCTTCTGCAAACACTGGAAAACAACCACAAACAGTGATGCTCCTCTCTATAAAGGACAAGCATCATATCTAGTATTTAAAAAAAAACTGTGTAGGAAAAAAATTCAGTTTTCACTACAGATGTGCAAGAAGAATCAGATCTGACACCTCCCCAAAGTTAACATGAGGAAGGCTACATGAAGATTTATTTCTTGCATCAATTAAATTAGTACTTGGTCTACAGAGCTGAGTTTTCATCTCTGAAATAGAGACTAGCAAAACTACATTTCAATACTCCATTTCTGAAGTAAAAACATCATGTTCCATGTCAGATATTACTAAGGTTGTTCCAGAACATTTTCAATATTTTTTTTCACTACTTCTATACAATGAAAAATTTGCAAGCACCATATCAGATTTTTTGGGATAATACATAGAGGATATTCAATGTTTTGTAGATGAATATGGAATTTATTTCACGAGTGGGACAGGATTTTTTGATATTTTCACGAGTGCGAAGCACGAGTGAAAATATCAAAAAATCCTGTCTCACGAGTGAAATAAATTCCATATTCATCTACAAAACATTGAATTTTCTGTTTATTACATTTTCTTTGATTTTCCCTTTGCCTCTGTCTTTTCTTAACACAGTGTCATAGGCTTGACGTCATAGTTGAGCGGTTGAGACGTCACAGTTTAGCAGTTGTGTGATTGAAAACATTACATAGCATGGATTTTAGCAATATATTTATATTAAGAAATTTGCAGTTTTAGCTCTATCAAGATGCTTAGGTACAATCTCTATCTTATGACAGGCCAGAAATTATTTTTTACTTACTTTGATATCCTTTCACACTGTGAGAGAATATCATTTTGGTATCCTTTCACACTGTGAGAGAATATCACTTTTATTCAATAAATAAATCACAGTATTTCACTGTTGAAAATGTAATAAATAGAAATTTCAATGAAATATTTCCGTTAATAACAATTTTCTTTCAGATAAATGAATCTTGCAAATTTACTGTTGGCGCAACACTGACAATGTCAAAATGTAACATTTGTGGATTTGTTTAGGAATAACGGCATTCGTTTTAAAAAATTCTCAGTAGCATAAATTCAACACTGCATCTGTTTTTCTTTTAGCCGCTGAGTATCCATCTCACGCATACTAGGGTTTCCAAAAGATTGCAGAAATGATTCTTTTAATAGACCATTGACCAATCCCAATTTTAAACCTAACTGCTCACATAGTTAAAAGCTGTCTCCTAGTATGACGTCCAGCTCCTGACTTTTCAGTTTATTTTCATTGTTTTTGTTAGTCTCTTCCATTGGATAACCAGTCCATCCACTCTTGAACCTCTTTCCCTGGATATAAACCAGTGTTTGTGAAGTGTTTGTGTCATTCCATCTTTTCCATCTGTTTTTCCCCTATGGACAGGAGTCGTACACCACTTAACACAGTACTACATAATAATTTGGTGTATATGACATTGAAACCTTAAAATATTTTTCTTCAAATGAAATGAAAATAACATTTCCCAGCGAAGTGTAAAAAAAAAATTTGGTCATATGATTTATGAAATATTTAAAAAGTTTGTGTTTTTCTGGAACAATTTAACCCTCATATGTCAGGCAGTCCTATAGTTTTATAATGTGTGTAATCAAATTCATGTGTCCTCATCAAAAGTATGTTTGATAGGTCATGATTTAATGTTGTGATTTAATACCTGGTAAATGTTTTCAAAATTTTAATCTACTTTATTCTGAACATAGATACCTGAGATTCACGATCATTCCGTTCTATTACATAATGCTACAATATTTTCTAAATCTATGGAATCTAATATTTGACTTTAAATCATCTCATCTTATCAGTGTCTAGGTTTTTTCAAAACATGCTTCATATTGGAAAGAATTCATTTACGTCCATTCCTGTTGCAAAACAATGGTATCTGTCAATGAATCGTAGGGCTACCAGATTGTTCAGATAGCATATCCACTGTATAATGATCGCATTAAGATGTGTTTGTTTATGTAATAAATGTCGAAGTCATCATTCAGTTAACGCAGACTGAAATTAATGTCTCTCATGTTTATTTCAACTTATTTCAAGCAGAACTACAAAACCCACTTTAATTACGGAGATGCACATGCATATTTTCCTGAAGCATTTTATTCCAACAGTGAAAAATGACAGCAAAACTGCATGCTTAATGTATTCCATCATCTAATGAGAGCTTAAAGAATCAACAACAATACCAGACCACTATCCTGGTGTCACTTAATGTCTCAGTCTGTACGATTATCTATGGACTGCCTATAAAGCTGCTGTTGTCATTTTTTGGAAATAAAGCATTAAATGCAAAAATCAACTTTCTTCTCACCTTGACTATTTCCAGGAAATTCCAGCGATTATCTGGTTACTTATTTTTTTCAAATTGTATGAAACAGAAATATCCATGCACTTATGATTTTTTTAAGAAGTGAAACAAACCTCAAATATTGAAGAAAACAATGTTAATTGGATGATCTGATCACCCTTAACCTTAACTAAAAAGTAAATTCACACTTTTTTAAAAATTCAGGCCCTGAATAATTCCAGTTACTGTAAATGTATTTTATTTGGTGTGTACAATATTTGACAGATATTGATTTTTTAACAATTAAGAATGCATTTGATTTGATGCTTTCTAAATGTGCTTTATATGAAATACAAGACATTTAGCTTAATTTGTACTTGATTTAGTGAAAGCTGCTTTCTACGAAAAGCACTGAATAGAATACACAGCCAAATGTAATATGTTTACAGTAATAATTGCATTTCAATAATTTAAAGTATACCACACAGTGTGTTTTGAACTACCGGTAATTATACATGTATTAGCATAATGTTTTGTATAAGCATGCAACAGAAATGCAATTAAAATTATCATTTAATTAATATATCTATTTCCATTCTTTTTACGCTCAATATTTAATTTTTTTCAAAATATATATGTGTGGCACCTGATGGTATATTGTAAGGATTGAAGACAACAATAAATGTAAGGAACACACTGAAAATAAACTCATTATCACTGAATTGGAAGGATTAGACTACTATTACAATGCTTATAAGGGTGTTCACCCCATGTCAGAAAAATTTTTGAAAGCAGTCTGCAGTAATAAGAATTAAATTTTTATTCTTAAAAATATACACAAATGCCATATTTCATGACCTATTTATAGATATCTTAGGCAACCTTACAGTGCCCGCATACTCGAAATATTTTGCATATTTCCAACTGATGACCACTATATCTGTTCAAATTGATTGCTTTTATATACTGACAATTGGAAATAACAAAAATTTGCTGTCTGTGCAAAATACCTGAGATATTTTCACATCTCAGAAAATATTGGGCGTTGCACTGTTCACAACAGAATTAGTGGAATTTCTCTGGTAGGCTTCACTTCTAGACATGCAATTCAACATCTTATGTTTACCCCTGAACCTTCATCATTTATTTTTTATTTTCACATACCTTTCTTTATTTTAAGAATGTCAAAATGATATGCATTTAGTTTACGATTTTACTGAAGCTATTGTTATAATACCAACATGATGTTATGAAGCATTAACCCTGTTTGGTTACATGGAAATCAAATTTTGATGTGCTGCATAATCAGCGGCTACAGTCCTGAAATTTTACTTTTATTTCAGTGTTGGAGATATTCATGGATGTAGACAAAAACCCGTCCAATTCTCTAAAGAGAATACCTCCAACACTGAAATACTCAGAGTTATCAATAGTGGTTTATTGATTGTTATAACCATCTTCTGGTAACAATTAAGTAACAATTAAAGCTCAACAATTATTTCCCTTCTCTGTTCCCCGTTTTCTCTTTGAAAACCCAAATTTCATATGTGTAAATATAACCTCATCCATATCATGCATAAATTATCTCTGTTTGCAAATTGTGACTCATATAGCAAATGAAAATTGTTTCATAAAATTTAACTTGATAACGGATCTCATATTTACCTCACCTGAGCCAAAGGCAAGTGAGTATTTCTCATTGAAGAGTGTCTGTCATCGTTATGTGTTGTGTGTCACCTGTAAACTTTTTACATATCAACTCCTCCTCCAAATTCAATCTAACTTGACAAAAGTGTTAAAGTGTTTCAAAAGTTGGTCAAACTCCAAAGTCAATGTCAAAATTAATGGTACCCAAGGAAAGGTCTTCTCACAATGAATACACAAGTGATCAATGAAAGCCCAAGAACCAAACAAGAGGCCCAGGGGCCACATCGCTCACCTAAGCACTATGGCTAGGAAAAAGCAGAAATCAGTTCAGTCTTGAAAGGTTGAAAAGTTTAAATAAAGAAGTGGTTTGGGGGGGGTCATGAATTGAACAAATTTGAATCTACATTATCTAAGGATGCTTCCATTTTAATATGACCAATCATGGCTTTGCTGTTCTTGAGTAGAAGATTTTTTAAAATTTAACCTATGTATTCCTCTAATGTAAAACTTTGATCGCTCATTGTGGCCCCATCCTACCCCCGGCGGTCATGATTTGAACAAACTTGAATCTACACTACCTGAGGATGCTTCCATGTAAATATGACCAATCATGGCTTTGCTGTTCTTGAGAAGAAGATTTTTAAAGATTTTTCCTATATATTCCTATGTAAAACTTTGATCGCCCATTGTGGCCCCACCCGACCCCCGGGGGTCATGATTTGAACAAACTTGAATCTACACTATCTGAGGATGCTTCCATATAAATATGACCAATCATGGCTTTGCTGTTCTTAAGAAGAAGATTTTTAAAGTTTTTTCCTATATATTCCTATGTAAAACTTTGATCGCCCATTGTGGCCCCACCCGACCCCCGGGGGTCATGATTTGAACAAACTTGAATCTACACTATCTGAGGATGCTACCATTTAAATATGACCAATCATGGCTTTGCTGTTCTTGAGAAGAAGATTTTTAAAGATTTTTCCTATATATTCCTACGTAAAACTTTAATCCTTCATTGTGGCCCCGCCCTACCCCCGGGGGTCATGATTTGAACAAAATTGAATCTACACTACCTGAGGATGCTTCCATATAAATATGACTCATCATGGCTTTGCTGTTCTTGAGAAGAAGATTTTTAAAGATTTTTCCTATATATTCCTATGTAAAACTTTGATTGCCCATTGTGGCCCCACCCGACCCCCAGGGGTCATAATTTGAACAAATTTGAATCTACACTACCTGAGGATGCTTCCACATAAGTTTCATATTTTCAAGCACAGTGGTTCTTGAGAAGAAGATTTTTTAATGATGCCATTAATTTTTCACGAATTCTTAATTATCTCCCCTTGGAAGAAGGCGTGGCCCTTCATTTGAACAAATTTGAATCCCCTTTACCCAAGGATAC